TCAGTAGTCTAATCAGCAGTAGCCAATTTGAAGAGGAAAAAAACCCAGTAGAACCAAATGATAATGTGATAGTTAATGACAACTTTTGACGATTACCGCTGTCACAAAATTGCAAAGATAATAAAAAACTATATATAATAGAATAGCGATATGCGAAGAGATCTGAGTACATTTTCATAGCGCTGACTTAGAGACCAGGAGGCAAATGGATATGAACTCCATCAGACAATCAGCCTAACGAGCCAGATAAGAAATAGCATTGTCTGACGTCTGCTGAATATAGCGCTGTATATTAGACCGAAAATACTTCAAGCTCAGTGAGGTCTAATTAAATACACTGGAAGAAATAATGCGACACTTCTGCTCAAAATGATTACTGAGAGATCAATACAAAAGCAAAAGGCTATATACCTATCCTTTATAGAATATTCAAAAGCTTTTGATGAATTACAACATAAATCAAGTTTAAAAAAATAGTTATTTATTTCGAAAATATTTTACAATTACTTGGAGCAGACAGCCAGCATACAGATAGAAAAATGAATTCAGTAAATAGCAAACGGAAAGAAAGAGGCATATAACAATGATATTTCGTTCTCACCGGACATTCCATATTTACACTGACGTGATCTTGCGAGATTTCGATTCCTGGATAATTGCAAGATATGCAGGTGTCAAAATGTTGAGAGCACACATGAAAAGGAAACGACAGCAACACTTAAAGATGGTAATTAATAAGAGAGATGGGACAAACAGATTTTATGGTTGTCAGCAAAACAGTCCTCAGTGCGATCTAAATACTGGAGATATAAAGAAAATCATTCAATTATTTACATTATTCGATTTATTGTCCTCATCTTTGTCGCCATATTTATCACAACGTTTCAGGCGTTGTACGCTCCGGCCTTCTTCATGGGGTTGGAATGTCAAACTGAACCCTTTTTTTCGCTCACCCGGGTAGACTGTTCTAGTTCTACGTGCCATGTTTGATGGATGTCAGTTATCAGTTATCTCCTGTTAATTTCCCTCTTTAAGTTACTGCAATATGAGCAATGGTAAAAATGGTTGCTGAAGACATTAGGTTTATAATACCCAGAAATTCATTCAAGGACACATGGTACAGTGGATAAAGGCGTTGGTTAGATCCAGTGACAGGACCCAAAGAGTGTGAGCTCAATACAGACATTCCAACCACCTGAAGAAGGCCGGAGCGTACAACGATCGAAACGTTGTGATAAATATGGGGACAAAGATGTGGACAATAGTCCGAATAATTAAAATAATGTACATAATACCTCATCTCAGAAATATAGACTGACTGAAAAATCATTCAAGTACAAATGATTAATTATGTAGAAATTGTTTTAACATAGGACAGAAAATGCGACAACATAGTCTGAATCTGTCTATATTTCTAAGATGAGGTATTATGTACACTATTTACATTATTCGGACTGTTGTCCTCATCTTTGTCGTTAGATTTATTACAAAGTTCCGGCCGTTGTACGCTCCGGCCTTCTACAGGTGGTTGGAATGTCGAAAAGAACCCTTTATTTCGTTCACTGGGGTAGACTGTCATAGTTCTATATGCCATGTTTTAATGGATGTCAGTTACCAGTTATCTCCTGTTAGTTCCCCTCTTCAAGTTGCCCACTGCCTTAACCGGGTATTGAACTCACACTCTTTGGGTCTTGTCACTGGATCTAACCAACACCTTTATCCACTATGCCATGTTTAGTTCGATATTCTAACCACCTGAAGAAGGCCGGAGCGTACAACGGCCAAAACATTGTAATAAATATTGCGACAAAGACGAGGACAATAGTCTGAATAATGTAAATAACGAAATCTGATGTTGGAATGGCCTCCATAAGCTAAAAAGCAAACAGGAAACAGGGAAAAATTTAGATGCACCGAAAAAAATTGTGAACTGTTATGTAATATCGATCTTCCTACATAGCAACGAATGATCAACAATCTCCTAACAGATGCGGAATAGACATAAGGTTAAAGAAAATGTGACTCTGAAGAATAATTTTTAGCATATCATTCACTTAATGTATGAGCAACAACGAAGAAGCGAAAAAAAGAATTCTGATTTCTCTGAGAATTCTAATGAAACTTGACCATTTCTCGGGGTCATAATGAAAACAGATATACCGAAAAATTCGATACTCACTGGATATATTAGAAGCAAGAGGGACAGTTGAAGACATGGATTCTGAGAAAGAGCAACATATCATAACATACTAAGATCTACATAAAACAGGATATTGTGGAGAGCCATGAGTTTTCTGTTCTTGAAAGGACACGACACATAAAAGAAGAATACCACTACATAAATAGTAAAGATCAGACATGTATCTTCGTTATGGTCGGCAGTCTATACAGGTCAGAGAGTTGTGGAGAGTTCTTGAAGGAATATGGCACATAGAATAAGAATACCTCTAGATAAATGGTAAAGCTTAGACATGAATCATGAGTATGAACCGCAATCTCTCTCTATATATATATCAGGAAGATGCGGAGAGCAATGTTCGCCTTGTTTATAAAGGAACATGACGCGATAGAAGAAGAATACCACTACATAAAGAGTACAGATCATCGTTATGGAATGCAGTCCATGCAGCTCGGGGAGTTGTGGAAAGGCATGTTCGTATTGTTCTAGAAGGTACGTGATACATAGAAGCAGAATACTACTAGATAAAGAGTAAAGCTCAAACATACTTCATCGTTATGGAGCGCAGTATATACAACTCAGGAAGTTGTGGAGTACCATGTTCGCCATGTTCTTGAAGGGACGCGATACATAGAAGAAGAATACCGCTAGATAAAGTGTAAAGCTCAGATGCCAGTCATCGTTATGGAGCGCAGTCCATATAGCTCAGGAAGATGTAGAGAGCCATGTTCGCCATGTTCTTGAATGGACGCCATATAGAAGAAGAATAGCATTAAATAAAGCTAAGACATACAGCTCAGACATGTATAGAGTGGTAGTCCATAGGAGTATGTATATATATATATATATATATATATATATATATATATATATATATATATATATATATATATATAGATAGATAGATAGATAGATAGATATGTGTATTGCATTATTCTTAAGATATATGACTGGTTCGAAATTAATCATCGTAGCGACTATTTTATATTCCAGGTGGGTTGGTTTACAAAGTTATGAATCAACCCGCTGGCTATGGATTATAGTGTAGGTTTTTTATGAAGTGAATTCATTCTGTAAAAAAAGTGTTACTGGAATAGCCACACACAAAATATAGTATTCTTACAATCTAAAATAATTTTTCATTTGGATATTTCCCAAACGATTGATAAGACACAAAGAAATATGAACAATCACCATAAAGGATCATTCGTAACAACTAAACATTCGATAACAGTTCAGTTGTAGATATTAATTTAATAACGATTCGTATATCTGTTATTCCTATACTAACAAAGATTCAACGCCGTATACATTATTTCATTTCATAATCAATTACTATATTTATCAATGAAGTAGGCATTACAACAACATACACATTATACGATAATTTTCCCCGCGGGTATATTTGGAAATTCATTGTGGAGACTGCGAAGGACAGTTCTCAACGCAAACAAATGTGTCCATTACTAAAAGACTATAAAATACCATAAAGGATTTTACGTCTTTTCTCTAGACCGTAGAGGCCCAATTTAGGGTTTTGCGGGGTTCGAAATAGATGTCCTCACATTGGAAAGGGTCATTTCGCCTCACTGATGTCTAGACTATGTGCAATATTTTTCTTCCTTCGCAAAACGTTGTTAGAGAGTGCAATGGATTGTGACGGTTTTATGGTCCCAGGCGAGGAAAAAATTGAAGTTTGTTCAGTAAAGTTGTTAATATCGTCTACCCTTTGCTGATCAGAGATTTCTGAATTAAGCAATGTGTCTATGATAGGAATAATCATGCCTTTCAAGTTAACAGTGTCCTGAGAATTAAAAGAAAAAAAAAACGTAAAGAAAAATGAAGGAAAGGAAGACTGGAAAAGAAACATACAAAAACAACGAAAAGAAAGTAAATGAAAAGAGACATACAGCAAAAAGCGGATTGAGTAAGACGGAATGATAAATTAACGCGAAAGAAAGGGGAAAAAATAAGATGGAAATGAAGTGAGAAAGGCCTAGAAGTGTAATATAAATCAATATAAAAAGTAAAGAAAAACGGAAGAAAAGGAAAGTATAGATGAAAAAGTGTGAGTATAAAAATGGTTAAGTGAAAATTATTTATTTGTACGTTTGTACAAAATGTGGCACAAGGCCAAAAAAGGGGGTGGGAAAAGGACGGTCTTCTTCTGTCTTAATTTTAACCTTAGCTAGTCACAGACATTGACCCAACAATAGTCCAATCACCAAAACAACACATTTACTCCTACCTTTCTTACTACATCCACCATAATACCTCAAATTCTCTATGAAATCCTAACTAGTGCCCATATGTACATTTAAAAGTCTGTGGGATGGGGGCAACAATTAAAAAAAAAACAATGATTATTTACAATATGTAATACTACTATTTACATAAAACAAATGAAAATGGGGTTAGTAATAAAAAAAAAAAAACCACAATCCCTAAATGTGGCAGAAACATTAGCTAATTGGACGAAATAATTGCGGGATTATAACATTATAAAAAACCAGGCACGCCCACAAACATGCACTCATTTAGACACAATAACAAATACGAAAACACACACACGAAACGAAAGTCATCCCGCAACAACCAGAGAACTGACATCACTGACCACCTAAGGAGGGAGGGGATGGGGAATTAAACAAAAGAAAAATAAAGACAGAAATAAAAGCGACCAATGAGCATGCATACCCTAGCTATGTTAACCAGAAAACGGGAAACTAAAGTTTCAAACTAAAAAAATCCCAAACTAGCCTAATATCGGAGCGGGTTGCCTCTGTTCAATGGTTAAGTAAATCATTAAATATTAAAAGACTGCGAGAGATAAATAAAAAAAGACAGGAATGAAGAGAGAGGAACGCTTAAAAATGAATTACAGAAAAAAGAAAAAGGATAAAAAGAAAAGGAATGAAATGCCGAAATAAAGAGAAAGAAACAAGAGAATAAAGCATTAAAGAAATTTAAAAAAAATATAAAGAACAGTACGATGAAAGAAATCATATTCAACGAAAAAAAGGATGAAGAAAGAAAGAACGAAAGAAAGAAATAAGAGAAAGAAAACAGAATAAAATAAACAGAGAAAGAAGAAAAAAAACTAAATATTCATGAGGTAAAACAGAATTAACGAGAAATAAATGAATCACAATAAATGAAGGAATGAGCGAAGTAAAAAATATAACAATGTATGGAAGGCGGTAAATTAAAAAAAATAACTAAAAAAACGGAAAAAATAGAGAGAACAAAATGAAAGTAAAATATAAAAAAAGAAAGAACCAAGGAAGAAATCAGAACAGAAACCATTATTAATGAATGAACGTGTTAACGAAAAAAAGAAACAGTTATAGTAAACTGTGATGAGAAATGAATAAGTTAACAAAAGAAAGAAAGAAAGAAAAAAAGGAGGTGATAAAAATCTGGAATTATATAAATAAATAAAACAAAATAAGTCTGTGAATAATGAAATTCATTAAGATTGGCTACGAAACAAATAAATGGAAAAGCTAAAAGCGAAAAAGTATATAAATAGGAAATAGAGAAATGCGAGAATTAAGAAAAAAAAGTATGGAAAAAACTTTGAAATTAAACAAATACGAGAAGGAAAACAAATAATGAAAAACAACAAAATGAAATGAAAAAAAAAAAACATAAATTAATTATCAATGAAAATAAAAGGAATCGGTGTTCTCTTTTTAGCTTATAAAATAACAGATATAATAATACTGAAATAAAATAAGAATAATAAAGAACAAAACGGCCAAAAAAAAAAAAAGAAAGAATAAAAGAAAAAATGAAGAGAGGAAGGAAGCCAAACTTAGAATCGTATAAGAGAATGATGCAAATAATATCTCTTAAAACATTTGTTGTGATGATATCATCAAATACCCGAATGACAAGACTGAATGAAATGAAATTCATTGTATAAGAAGAAAGGTACGTCCAAATGTTAACGTTAAAAGACATTAGTCGACAGACGATAAAACAATAATCAATATGAAAAATAAACTTCCCAGACAAGTAACCACTTAAAATATTTTGATAGATATGTGAAAGGAGAAGTGAAAATAATAATTAATATATTTTTTACGTCCCATGACCGTTGACAAGATTAGCGTTCATGGCTCTCCACAATTTCCCGTCCTTTGTTATGTTTGTGAAAGCATTTAAAAAAGTTCGTTCGTTGCCTTCTTTCCTCTGTTCCCCTTTACCTCAAGAAGCCGTTTGAGTGTCATATTCTCTAAACCCTCTGTCCGCATTATATGCCCAAGAAATATAACCCCTTTCTTTCTGATTCAAAGAAGGTGTCTTTTTTACCCATTTTCCCTAAAACGTTGTAGTTCCTCATATTTTTAGCCCATGATATTCTCATCGTTGTATTTAAAAAATATTTATTTCGCCGCCATTTTCGTCTTCATCTTTCATGACATTGTACAGCTTTAACTCTCATAGAGGAAGGCTGATACTGCATAGCAGTTCAGCAATCTTGTCTTAGTTTCGAAAGAAATTTTTTTGTTCCATAATATTTTGTAGAGATATCACTGTCATATACGAAAGTTGATACTGCATATCAATTCGGTAATCTTAGTCTCTAACGAAATCTTCCTGTTCCTTAATATCTTGCTTAGCTTTTGAAGGGCATCATTCGTTATCCCAAAGCGTTTTCGGTGTCACATTTTCTGCTCTCTGAAAAAAAAAAGCACTTCCAAAATAGTTAAATGCTTGATTCAGGTGTCTCTAATTCGTGGCTCGCCTTCTGAACTGTTATTTTTTACTCATAGCCATAGATTCTGTAATTCTGTCTTCATAAATTTAAAGTGTATTCCTTTCTTTTCTTATTCTTTTAATAAGTTCTCTAAGAGTTTGTTCTAATTTCCTACCGGTGTCTGCTATGAACATTGTGTTATCCGCATATCTATGCTTGTTAAGTTGACTGATTGTATTAAAGAATAAGAGAAGAGAAAAGTAGCAGTTAGAGAATAACAAAGAACATTAAAAATATAAAATGACAAAATAAAACGAAATTAATAAGTGGAAGAGCAAATATGATATACTGAACGTGAAATGCATTCGAATGAAGAAAATAAGCAAAATAAGGCTTGGGCTGTATGTGATCTTAGGAAATTACATAAAATAGGAGAATATGTATAGACGAATCATATGTGAAAAACTCGTACACAAATACGCAAATAAAATTTCCCTCTCTTTCAGTCGTGTAATCTCTTTTACAATAAACCTCTCTCTCTCTCTCTCTCTCTCTCTCTCTCTCTCTCTCTCTCTCTCTCTTTCATCTACGCGCGTGTTGGTGTTCCTTCAATTTTGTTTGTTTGTAACCTCTTTAAGGATACAACGATATATATATATATATATATATATATATATAAATATAATATATATATATATATATATATATATATATATATATAATATATAAAATATAATATATATATATAATATATATATATATACATAATAAATATAAATATATATATAAAGTGTGTGTATATAAATATAAATAAATGTATATATGTATAATTATTTATATATTATATACATGGGTACTTATTAGAAACTCACATCTATCCAACCAAAATATATATATATATATATATATATATATATATATATATATATATATATATATATATATATATATATATATATATATATATATATATATATATATATATATATATATATATATATATATAATATAATAATATATATATATATATAAATATATATATATATATATATATATATATATATATATATATATATATATATATATATATATATATATAATAAATATAATATATATATATATATATATATATATATATATATATATATATATATATATATATATATAAAGAAATTCTAGTGATAAAAAACAAAGGAATATATAACAAAAAAACAAATAATATTGATAACGAATCTACTCATATTTATTGTACAGTATGCGATGTGTAAATTGTCGCCCGCATATATGTTTAACTTCTCGCATGCTGTTTGGTGTTATTGACTTTCACGCCTGCACATATGGAAGATTCTGTTGGGCACCGTCTGCGAGAAAAAGAGAACCATAATGCACTCCTTTTTAAATTTGGAATCCGCATGCAGTACTGTTTTGCTTTAGGGCCGAAATCTACATTGCGAATATTACAGAGTTTTGGTCTGTTAATCTGAGGATATTGAAAGGGTTCTGAACTAGTTGGATAAGTCTACGATGGCGACTTGGGGTGATCAATAGTGATGGCGAGGTTATGCCTACATTCATCTTCCCACAGAGCAGCAGACTAAACACCAAGGCCTACATTAAGTGTCCTGTGAACGTAGTGCGACCATAGGTCAAGAGGGTGGCTGCTGGAATACATTATATCTGGTATCATTACTCTGCACCTTGACAAATAAGCAGCAGAAACCTCTCATGGCTATCAGACAATTTCTCCGACCACATTACCCCTTACATCCCTTTTGTTATTATGTTGGCGGCGAGCTTGAGCGAGAGTGAAACAAAACTCTCTCTAACAAGGAAAATGTCCACAAGCGATGCAGGAGATCCGGATATCATCAGCAGACCAAGGTTATAGCCAATGGCGATTTTATTAAATAATTTTACTCTTTATTATTTCAAGAGATTTTAGTGTAAATTTGGTGAATATATCTCTTTAAATGAGATGTCAGTGTTAGTTTCATTTTTGCTTAATTTAAACGATAATTTATACATCGCAATGTGTACATTTTTTGAATGTTGACCAAATATAAGAATGGCAAATGTTTTAAATTGTGAATCAGTGTCCTCTCTCTCAACGAAACGAAAAATAGAAGAATATTCGGAGGAATTTTCGCCTGTGATAGCTTTCGGATTTTTTTTTTTTGGCACGTATAGGGTTATAGAGAATTTGTCTACATTTTCCCCATATAATAGCTATTCCCTTATCAGTTATAACAGTATATGTCACATTTTTCCACACAGGGGTAATATAAGTTCATGTTCAATTTCACACAAACGCTCACACATGCTCAATATATGAAAAATAAAACATTTCCTAAATAGTGTATATATATATATATATATATATATATATATATATATATATATATATATATATATATATAAAATCTTGAATGTAACATTCCGCTACATAAAAAAAACTGTAAAGAAAAACGAATAAAGAGGAACAGGACGATTTAATCTTGAAAGCAATGTCAACATAAAATTATTTCCAATACCGACGTTCAAAGACGAAAAGCCTCTGTGCTAAGCATTGATAGGAACAGATAATAAAGAAATGCCTGACAGAATGAATAAAGACATAAAATACGCAAAAAGAGGAGAAAATTTATTGCATATGCCCTTAATTGTGTGACAATCAGTCTAGCATTCATGATAACAAAATATTCTGCAAAGTTTGCCAAATATCTGTTGAGGCGTTCGTGCGAGAAAGGCTAAATATTTAGCCCACTAAGCGGAAACGTTGTGTAATTTTAGCGCATGCGTGATCAGCAATACAACATGAAACTGATGTGTCGCCATCTTTTATGCACCAGATTAAGAACGTCCGCTTCCTCTCAGCATTCAGCCACTCTCTTCCTGTTTGTTCATTCCCTTTGTCAATGTCGCTACCCGGTAAGAACAGAAACAATATTTATGCTGGTTTGTCCATGCTATTTTGGCGCTCTGTGCTCAAATTTTAATCCTCTGATGCGCCGACATTTTATTCTCTTCCAAATCATATACGATGGGTCCCCAATGCAAATAAACAGTTTTATTTCTCACGACGCCTGTCATTTATTTTAAGAATAAGAGACATTTTC